TGTTACTCGAAAGATGACTCATCGCATCTAGATATTTCCGGCTGGAATTTCCCTGAAAATGCGATTCACGATACAGAAAATGGACATTTTAGCATGCGAATCCCGTTACGACACTTTTTAAACATATTTAATGATTATAATATGATAACTTGTGGAAAACAAACCATAAGATTGGTAAGAGCCAGACATGACAAAAATTGTATGATAATTAAACCAATGGGCGGTGTTGCGGCCAGTGCAATTAAAACAACGGCGGAATTAAAAATTGATAGTGTCGATCTTAGGGTCAAGCACATATTTCCAAACGACGAAATCAAATTGGCTCTGCTGAAATCGATTAGATTAGATCAACCCATATTGATACCCTATAGACGATGGGAACTTCATGAATATCCTGCCCTAACCGCGGGCTCTACCAAAGAAATTTGGTCTGTCAAGACGTGCGCGGCTATCGAAAGCCCCCGATACGTAATAGTCGCTTTTCAAACAAATCGCAAAGACAACGAAGCGAAAAATGCGACGCTTTTCGATCACGTCGACGTAACGGATATAAGATTAACACTAAACGGAGAATATTACCCTCACGAACGTTTACGATTAGATTTTGAAAAGAATGACTTCGTGGAAGCGCATCACAATTACACGGATTTCTACCCCAGTTATAAGGGATGTGAGGAAAAAACTGCGTTGCTTGACTATATGGCTTTCAAAAACTGCGCGATTTTCGTCATTGACTGTTCTCGAAGAAACGACAGTGTAAAATCCAGCACTGTCGACGTAAAGTTAGACATCGAAGCAAAAAAGGGATTTCCCGCGAATACACGTGCCTATTGCATCATCATTCACGATTGTATCGTGGAACAACTACCGCTCAGCGAGATTGTTCGAAATCTAACATAAATACCGCCGGAGGAACCTAATCTTAACCAGTCATATTAAAAATGCGCATCGTTGCGGTAGATATTCAAGGCTTCCAGTTAGAAGATGGATTTGTCGTTAAAGAAATGGCTGTCTACAATGGATGTCAAATTAGTCATTACGTTTTGAAACCGCCGCGTGAATATTGCACGTTGACCGGTGCAGAAAAAAGAACGGTACGCTGGCTCGAACAATATCATCACGGTCTCAAATACAGTTCTGGTTTTGTTCAATATTCCGACATTGATACGTTGATCGGACTACTGATAGAAAATGCTGACTTGATATACGTGAGAGGAAGATCAAAAATGGAATTTTTAATGTCGAAAATGGATCAGGAGGATGTCGCATGCAGAGTCATTAACGTGGAGAAATTCGATGATGATAATTGGTTGAATCCGCCGAAATTTCAACCGGATCACGCCCATTGCATGTTTCACTCCGGAGGAAGACTGCGCATGTGCGCGTTGAGAAATTCTGCCCTTTTATATAATTGGTTGTATTCAAGGATCCCTGTATGAAATAAAACTTTCTTTATTTAAATAAGACTTTTTATTTCAATCCAAAAAAATTAATAATACATTTACACGTAAAAATAAAGCACGCTAATGCTATGATATGAATACAAACTGCGAAACTGTAATCTATTGAAGTATAATTCTTTTTTCGTTCCATTTCTCGAGTAATATTCTGCGTCATCTCACGCAAAATAGCGACTAAAAGCGTTTGGTTCATCACTTCTCTTTGTTATTTTACCTATAAAAGATTAGCTAGGAACCGAATACATTTTAGTATTTTACTGACCTTGAACGAGATGAGAGTCTTGTTGCTATGCTACGCTGTCTTTACTACCTGTTCGGACGTGTCGACGATAGTCGCCGCGCTGCCCGAGGAAGGTGTGATTGAATATTTACAAAAATTCGGATTCCTTTCACCTAACGACAACGAATCTTTAACGCAGATCAATGCGTCGAGTTTGCAACGTGCCCTAATGGATTTTCAGGATTTCTATAATTTACCGGTGGATGGTACTCTTAATAACGAAACCGTCGAACTAATAAATAAACCCCGATGTGGTGTAATAGAAAATGCCTTCACGACTGTTTCGCGATGGCAGAAAACGGATTTAAATTGGTATATTCAAGTACCGCCCAGTCACTATCAAGAGTTAAAAGTGCTGGCAACCGAGGTTTTTAAAATATGGAGTGATGAATCAAATTTAAATTTTTTCTTAAATTACTCAGAGCCGGATATAATGATTTTGATGTCTGACAAATATACTACCCACAGACAAAGCATAAGATGTAAAGGGAACGAATCCTGTCCTTTTGCTTTTGACGGAAGGGGTAACATATTAGGACATGCATTTTTTCCAAATCAACAACAAGAGTGCGTGGAAGTTCATTTGGATAAATCCGAAGATTGGTACTACGGTTTAGAAGTGCCTGCGCCCGGAGGAAAAACGAGCTTGTTTACTGTGTTGTTCCACGAAATTGGACATACGTTGGGTTTGGCGCACAGTAACGATCGCAATGCCATTATGTACCCTTGGTATAGCTTAAATTCTAAGACATTGTCATACGACGATGTTGCAGGTCTTCAACGTTTATATGGTAAAAAAACCACAACCACCGCCCGCGTAACAACTCCGACCACAACAACATCAACTACCACTACTACCACAACTACGAAACCTCCGATAGGGAAAAACGAAACAAAAGTACCAGATTTGTGTCACGTAAATCCATCCATATTTTTGGTTACGTCTAACCATCATATGTATCTATTTTACGACAAATGGGTTTGGATAATAAGATTAGGTGATAAAGTCTACATGGAACCTAAAATGATATCAGATTATGTCCCTATTTACGCTCCTATTTCGCATATCTACCAGAGACCCAACGGACAACTTTTGGTAGTCACCGGTGATTCGTTTTATTTACTTCACTTCCCGAGTTTCACGGTAGTGGGCGACCGACAAAGCGTCCAGCGACTGGGTGTGCCTGCGGGTAAAACAGTGAACGCTATTTTTAATACGTATGGCGGTCGAACGTATATATTTTACGGTAAACGCTACTATGCAGAAATAGACGAGTGTTCTTTGAGTGCGAGTGAACACGGTTTTACTACGGAACTGTTTCCGGGTCTGCCCGACGATTTGTCGGGCGCGTTTCGATACACCAACGGACATTTGTATTTTTTCAAAGAGAAAACGTATTACGAATACAACGAATTTTTGAATAAATTAACGAGAGTCGGTGAAATAGACTTGAGTCTTGTCGCAATTAATTGTCCCACAGAGAGTGTCTTTAAACAAATTAGGGATTTGTTAAGAAAGTTATCGATCTTTCACAACAATGAATAAGAAGTTAGTTTTCTTCGACGATTTTAGAAGCTTGGATACCGAACAACTTGAATTGATTCCTGTGCAACATTTCTTGGAGCATGTGAGACCGCACGATTTGTTAAATATGTGGCATAAGTTACCAGTACGACATCGCAACAATTTTGAATTGCAAACTCATTTGCCCTGCTTTGTTCACTATAACAGACCGGACAGCAAAATGCATATCGACGGCCCGGCACCTCCCCAGAATAAATGTCATTATTGTTTGAGTGTTATAAAAGCAGTTACCGAGATCTAGGATAGATTCATTCGGGCTAGAAACATGGTTTTGTTAAGTGCTCACTTTGTTTTGTTGTCGGCTGTGGTACAAAACGTTTTCTATATACATAAACCTAAGGATGTGATTGAAGCGTTCGTTTGTTTCAAAAATCATAATAATCGGTGCATTTGGCCCGATACGTGGACGCGTATGCAACTCGCTCAGGTCAACGGAATCGACAAGCTACAAACTTTTAGCGTGACATTGTCGAATAACACTACCGCAGATAAGCCGTATTTAAATTACAAGGTACGTTTCGTTTTCGCGAACCGGAGCTACGAAGACCACGGCGAATGGCAAACGATCGCTATCAAGAATTCCAATAACACCAGCGGCGGCGTTAACGACAATTGCGGTAACGAATACAACATCTCGGCAGATCGAAAAACTATTTTAATCCCGCTATATGTAACTACGTGCGCTTGTTTGCTTCTTTTGGCAAAATGCTTATTCAAATTGACTAAATGTAAATATCTCTCTTAATTACACCGATAGTGGGGGGTTGTTGATATATAAGTACATTTGAATTTGATACCGAAGTCAGTCTGTTTGTCACAATGTGTAACAAAGTGGTCACTATCGATGAAAACACGATTTTCGAAATAAAGAATTCAGGTGTCCGTTTCATCTTCAAGAACAAGCACATAGATTTTCAAGTCCAGGATTTTTGGGATTTTTTGTTCTTTCTGGAGGACGAGGTGGGAGAAATCATGTTCTGGAACGACATAACAGTCTACATCGGGAGCAGTATCGAGGTGACCTATTCGAACGAAGAAGAGAGCTGTGAGTTGATACTGAAACGGGATCATGGCGACGAAATTATCCTCGACCGCGATGAAGTAGAAAATCTCATGGACCAGAAACACCGCTTGTACGAAGCATTACGTTGTCTACATATGAGCTAATAAATATTTACTATTGTATCTATAGTTTTTCTTTTATTAAACCGTGATTATTGAGACACTCTGTATAAGTCACTCGACTTGTTTACCGACGACCCGATCACCCGCGTCACCGCGCGACACCGTCGCCGTGCCGCACCGTCACCGCCCTCTACCGGGGGGGCCTACGACGGTCGGAGCGCGCGACATCTAGCAGCGACGGGCGGAACCGGGGCAAAACAGGACGCTACACAAGCTGGCGACACAAGCGCGCGACATCTAGCAGCGACGGGCGGAACCGGGGCAAAACAGGACACTACACAAGCTGGGTGGGGGGCGGAGCGCACTCTGGTAGACAGGGGGGACACTAGGACGCCACGCGCGGGGGGCCCCCGCTGCGGGGGGGTTAGGAAATTGAGGTTATGTACGGTTTCTGTTGCTTATATCGGCACTATACATCTACTGAGCGGGCCTGCTAACGCGTCTCAGCAGGTAAGCAGGACGTCGTTGCAGGATTAATCGCGGATACGTAATGACGCGGCGTGAAAAAATCTGCCAAATTCCTATCCTAGCCTCCAAATTGGTAAGTTTTTTCGACCACGTACAGCCAGTTTCGTAAAAAATTGAGTAGGCTTTGAAAATTCCACTTTGTGTATTTAGCAGTGTGCCCATCATCACATTTTGACAAAAAGAAGCCCGTTTTGACGTTCGGTATAGAACCTAAGGGCAGGTTTTGAGTAATTAATAAGCATATTGAGTGTTTTTCCCTGATGGGTTCGGTTTCGCTGTTGGCTCAACTGGTTTTTCCAAAGGCGTATTTCTATTGCATTGCCAACTGGAAGAAAAGTATATCCACCTCTTTATTTTATTATTAGGCGCCCGTACCTTCTCTCGGGAAGTACTGATATTAGAAAAAAGTAAAATAAAAATAAATTAAAAATCATTTGAAACACTTTACGTAAACCCAGTCGGGCTCTCGCTACAAACATTCATGTGAATCTGTCGTCGTTACTGTCTCTGATGATTTCTTGAGGGCCTTGGAGGATGGCAAATTTGTGTTGGCTGTATTTTTAGATTTTAAGCATGCTTCCTGAAAATTGTGGTGGTGCATGAAGTTGTGACGTATAAACGTAACAGTGTGTATGTGGATCGTTACCCTGTCGGAATAAATAACGTCCCTCAAGGTTAAGTTTTTCAACACTTTGGTTGAAATTATTCTTGCCGTGTTGGTCCATGACTTCGTGAATAAAAGTTAAATTACCGGTCCCATTAGCTGACATCCACCCCCACAATAAAACATATCTCCGCCATGTTTCACCGTCTATTTTCTGACCCAAAAAGATCAATTCCGCGCAAATTGCAAACGTTTTTTTCGAAATTAATGGTTTCTTTCTGGAAACGCGGCCGTTATAGTCTGCCCTAATATTTTTTGAGAACTCATCCCTGATTTCCTCTGCAAGTTTGGGAGCGCTTCTTTTAGAATTAAATAAATACTCTATTTATTTAGCATAAAGTTATAACAGAAAACAATCTTAATTACGTTTTAAATATACGAGCCAGTAACAAAATAGGAAAATTTAAATAAGTACAAAAGTACGCAAAAAAAAGATTATAACAGCAGAACAATTATAAAAGAAAAATCAGATTAAAATTGCAGTTTTGAGTAATCTTTTAAAAGCATTTAAATTATCACACTCCTTAATATTTATTATTCTAGTGTTATAATCATGAACATTCTTAAAGTAATTGCAAAGCTATTGCAAAGTGACAATTTTGTATAACTTGTTAAATTTTTGCCCGCTCCGGATGTGAAACCCACCTTTCGTGAAAACTTTCTCGTTATATAATCACAATGTGCATCAAAATTTATTTGTGGATCTAATACAATTCCCAAATATTTTTTATGTTTCGCATACTGCAAATTAACGCCATTTATATTAATATTAACACTCTGATAGATATAGATAGATAGATAGATAGATAGACACTATGATAGATAGATAAGTAAGATTTTAGGCAATCCAGGGCTAAGTGCTTGCTTAGCTATTAAAAAGCTCTTCTAAAGCCCAAAAACACAGCCAAAACAAAACTATTGTCATCGACATCCCCAACAAATTCATCACAGATACTAACCATCACAGACTCGCAAGAATTTCCCGTTCGAAATCCCGATTGACTAGAGACAATTAAATTATTTTCGTCACAATGTCTCGGTCTTTTGATCGGTCTACAATTAGAATGCAGCTTAGTAACTGGAACCTTCGGCACCGGAACCACCAAAGATGACTTCCATTCCTCTGGAAACTGCCCTTTAGAAAGTGACGCAGTATTCTATTTCCAACCTCCGCAAGAGCATCCTTGAAGACTCTTGTTGAAATGCCAGATTCACCCCCGACAACATTTTTAATGCCACGCGCAATCATTTTAAAGTTAAGTTAAGTGAGTTCATTTTTTATATCGTCAACGATGTAACTGTAACAATTAAAATAAAAACTAAGGTAAAACAAAATAGAAAATCTATAGTAGGTTTTGAGCATGTCCACCACAATGAATAATGCACGTTATAAAAACAACCTCCATATTATTAACTGCATTAAAAACAAAATCGAAGTTATTTAGTTGCACTACTTCTCTAATACACCTACTACTACAACTACAGCTGCAGTAGGGTAAGATCTGAACTTCAAGGTGTAATATCCAAAATTTACTCAAACTCGGCACATGACTTATATTACAACTTTGCTATAAAATATACAGGGATAATTATTATTTTTTTATTTATCGTTGGTTGTTCTCGTAAGTTTTGTCATTAAAAAAACCTCAAAAAAGTTGCACGGTTAAAATTATTTTCATGCATACAGGATGTCCAGGAATATGTTAGAAAGTAAAGTTAAAGATACAACTTGGGTTAAATTAGGAAAAAGTTGTGCCCCGTGGAGTTTACTGACATATTTTCATGGCCTTCTGAGAATTTGACAATACCGATTTTATTTTTTCCGACTCGGTCTGTCATACATAAAATAGAAATTTTCGTTGACCAAAATACGTGAGTCATTATCAAGCCATAGCCGTGAAATTTATATTTATATGTATATATTTATATTTATAATGTAAGTAGTATAGTGGTGACAGTTCTGAGCCAATTCTGGCTGGGAAATTTTAATTGGTTCATTTTAATTTCAATTAATTTCAATTAATTTAGGGTTTAATAAGTGAGGTGGAATTTTAGGAACTGAAATACTAGGTTCATTTATTTAATACTTTACTTACCTTCATTTGTTGCAAAATGATTTAGAAGACCCCGTGCATAGTGAAAAGTAATTATTAAAAGAAATTATGATAATATGTTAAAGAAACTATTAACTCTGTCTATACAATAAAAATTAAAACAAAACCAAAAATTAAAAATATATTTAGAGCTAAAATTGGCAAATCCATATGCATTATCCATAATAATTAAAGAGGGCCTTAGAGTTTCGTCAGCAGTTCATCAAAAATAAGACCCTGTTTTATAGTGGAAACCACTGTAATTATGCTATCTCTGTCTAGTGTACGATACCGGGGCATAATAGACAAAAATAGAACACTGGCAGGTAGATGCGTGGGTTTCGCCATTCGAGACTATAGATCAGCATTTCTAACAGAAAAAAAAATCACTAGAATAAATGTTCACTATACCCACCATTTCTTTCAACGCACATTAAAAATATTCGATTTTGTGGACATTTTTTCCACGTTGAAATAATATTTCCTTTTCGTATAAACGCGCAAATTTTATCAAAAACTACTACTTCATCATAAAAAATATCGACGCTTAGTTTTGGCTAGTTTAAGTATTTTAATGTATAAAAGATTCGTGTTTTAGTTTTTGGCCGGCGCCGACGACCTATCGTCTTGTTGGGGCGACGACATGGGCTCGTTCTCTCTGCCACTGGATTTGGAACCGTTACCGAGTTTGTTCAACATCTCCCCGTGCGGCAACGCAACTGGCAACGCCGCCTATAAGTACGTCCCCACTCCCCCTACACACATACGATTAAAAACTTTGCTTTTTATTTGTGCGCCACTGTAGTGTTTGCCAGAATCCTACGGCAACGAGTTTCATAAATGAAACTTTTGTCACGAATTTTCGATTGTTTAAAAATATTTTTATGAACTGTAGAATTGAACAGAAGTCTTTGCAATAACACTATATTTCATGGCACATCCAAGGCTACATGTCTTCTTTTTCGGGTCTATAATCAATTTGTTTGTTCGTTGATAAGATCGTTTTTCATTTTTTTCCTTTTTTTTTCTTTACAATTTTTAATCTAAAGTTTGTTAATATTTACATTTTTTATAATTATAATTATTTATAATTATTACTGTTGCTTTGAATTTTAAGTGGTTGCTTAATGTTAGATTTATAACACAAATATGCATACTTTTGCAAATACAGTATATTACATATTAAAAAAATAATATTAAAATAAATAACAATTTTAAAAAATAATATATGGCATACTTAATAAAAGTTTAAAACAAAATTTAAAAATATTTATTTTTATTTATTCATGAGTTTTTGAGCCACTCTGTATAATATAATAACCGGTCAGAAACTTCAAATTAACAGTCCAAATAAATTTACATGCCGTTAAAAGGGACCTTCTCATCTGTTAATAAGACAAAATTTCTGAAAAAAACTGTTAACATCCAAGAAATAATCCCAATTTTATTTTGGTGTCTGACGTTTTGATTCGCGATGTCCCTTACAAGTTAGAATTCCTGACGTAAGTCTCTCGTTAGGAATTCTGACATGTACTTCAGAAATTTTGACATATTTTGAGAAATTCTGATTTAGTCAGAAAATGTTTTGTTTATCAAAAATTCTGTCTTATTTTTCAGACATTCTGACCTATTTTTCAGATTTTCTGACTTATTTTTTAGATATTCTGTCTTATTTTTCAGATATTCTGATTTATTTTTCAAAAATTCTTTATTTTTCAGACATTCTGTTTTATTTTTCATTCTTCCTCACTTATTTTTCAAAAATGTCTTATTTTTTAGATATTCTGACTTACCTTTCAAAAATTCTGTCTTACTTTTCAGACATTCTGTTTTGGTTTTCATTATTCGTTACTTATTTTTCAAAAATGTTGCCTTATTTTTCAGATATTCTGAGGTTGAAAAATTTTGTCTTACTTTTCAGACATTTTTACTAATTTTTTAGAAAATCTGACTTTTTCTTCAGAAATTCTGACTTATTTTTCAGAAATCCTTACTTGTTTTTCAAAAATTCATTTTAATTTTTTAGACCTTCTGATTCATTTCATTTACCTATTTTTCAGAAAATCTAACTTGTTTTTAAGAGATTCTGTCTTATTTTTCAGACACTCTGACTTGTTCTTCAAAAATTCTGACTTATTTTCCACAGACATTCTCACTAATTTTTTACAAATTCTATCTTATTTTTCAAATTTTCGGACTTATTTTAATTTCGTCCTACTTTTCTCTTTTTAGAAAATCTGGCTTATTTTTCAGACATTTTGACTTATTTTTGAGAAATCCTGACTTATTTTTCTGCAATCCTTTCTTGTTTTTCAAAAATTCGTTTTTATTTTTTAGACTGTCTGATTTATTTTTCAGAAACTCTGTCTTATTTTTCAGACATTCTTACCTATTTACCTACTTTTCAGAAAATCTAACTTGTACAAAAATTCTGTCTTATTTTTCAAATACTCTGACTTGTTCTTCAAAAATTCTGTTTTATTTTTCATTTTGACTTATTTTTCATAAATTCTTACTCGTTTTTCAAAAACTCTTTCAAAAGTCTTATTTTTCAGGCATTCCGACGAATTTTTTAGAAATTCTACCTTATTTTTCACACTTTCTGTCTTGTTTTTCAAAAATTCTGATTTTTTTTATCAAAAATTCTGCCTTACTTTTCAGATTTTTAACTAATTTTTTAGAAATTCTGTCTTATTTTTCAGATGTTTTGACATTTTTTTGAGAAATTTCGACTTGTTCTTCAGAAATTGTCTCTTATTTGTCATTATACCTTATTTTTCATAAATTCTGTCCTCTGTTTAACTTGTTTTTCAGAAATTCTTCCCCCTTTTTCAAAAATTCATTCTTACATTTCAGACATTCTGACTTATTTGTCAAAAATTCTGACTAGTTCTTCAGAAATTTTGTGTTACTTTTCATTATGACTTATTTTTCGGAAATCCTGACTTGTTTTTTTCAACAATTTTGGTTTATTGTTTAAAAATTTGCTTAATTGAACTGAAACCTACATTTCATTTTAGGCAACCCTTCGTATGTTAGTCTCCAAATCTCTCAAAAACTGTGGACTTTAAGCGCTAACAATTTAATGCAATAAAAAAAGCATATCCTTTACCTTTTGCTCCAGATCAGAACAGAGCTTCCAGAACCAAAACCCGCTGCTCTACAGGGACAACAAGCAACCGACGTCGGACGTAGCTGACGTCTTGCTCAGCTTGAAGCATGCGGTCGTCTACCCGAGCCCTACGGAGAAGTGCGACTCGCAACCCCACGTGTGCCATTCCCAGGTGCTGCTCTCACCTAGCGGCTACGCTGGATCGAGCCTCTACGATCAAAACTACGGTCTACCTCAGCAACCGTCGATATTCCCCAGCATGTCAGTCAACGTGTCGATGAACATGACGATGCACGGATACCATCCGAACACCGGGTATTCCCCTCCAGACTTACCGACCACCCACGTGAGTATGACCGCTTTTAGCTGTAAGTACAGTTCAAACAAATATAAATGCATAAAAAACAAAAAGCAAACACAAATATGAAAAAAAATGTATATGCAAGAATAAATAAGAAAAAAATGGGAGAATGGCGAAAATAAAAAATATAAATGATTTGCTTGTTTTCGATATCATTTGAAAGTAATATTTGCGTTTAAAATTTTTACATTATTTATTATCATTTACATGATTTGTTAACGTCAATTTTTGCAATATGTGGCAGAGCGAATTTATGATATGCGATCACGCACAACTTTTAAGGGTTCTTGAGAGAATTTTCAGAATATTGCGTGGATATACAAAATGTGATGTATTATTTGTCTACAGAATAAGCGTATTATTATTATTAGTAATTTTTTACATGAAAAAAATATCTGAAAATGTCAAAATGACAGCAGGGCGTCATTTTAACTTTTTTTTTTTAATGGTAAAAGAGGTCATGTGGTGCCTCTTTTCAAAGGTCTTTTTAAGTTCTATTCTAGCCAATGTAGCCCTCTTATTTGCTTTAACAAACTTTTCCAAAATTGATTGTGTGAGAGCGTAAGTTTTACTGAAAACTGGTATCTGTCACTGTCAGTTATAAACGAACATTTTGTTTTTTGGTGACGACCTACTGCACAGTTAGGCCCAAAATAAGTCATTTTGGACCTTAGCTGAGACGGTTTCTGTTTTATCGAGCTTACTACAGGGTGTATAAAATACAAGTTAATGCTTTTTTCTTGATTTTGGAAACGGAGATATCGTTAAACGACCCGGAAGTCGTTTTTGGAAGATTTTTTGGTACGCGTGGTTGGTTTTCTCAGGTCCAATGGACGACGAATGGTCAGAATGCGCAGCAGAACGCGTACCAAACGCAGGGCATGCTCAATGCCCCCTACAACGGCACCTATTCGTTCACGGCGGATTTCCGGCCCACCCCGGAACCTTCCGGTTCCGCCTACAAGCCGGCATCAATGCCGTTCGCGTCACCGCTCAGAAAGCAGGGACTAAATTTGATCGAGGACGGTCAGAAGCCCAACGTGTGCCGGATATGCGGTACGCAGTTCACTTTATTACTTTCGAAAAATCTGTCCGTTCTCTGTTCCTGGAGTTTTTCCGGGATAGCTTCCGAACGGTTTGAGCTACATGCTTCAAATTTTGCACCTTTTTAACCGTCCACGCGGTGCATAAGACTTGTAAAAATGGCTGCGTTCAAGCTTCGGCGTCCATCTTTTCGTTTCGATTTTGGACTGTTTTTTGGACGTTGCTATGAAACACGATAAGTGTCCGAAATTTGAAGCTATCGACTTCAAATTTGGCAGGCAAATAGTGTTTGGTCCCCTAACGGAAACTATTGAAATTGGGGGGGTTGGACGGTTACGGTTTTTAAGTATTGTACAGGGTGTTCGCGATATTCCGTACAAAATTAAAAAACATAATGAGTACTCCAAATTTGCAGCTAGGCCGCATCAAGGGCTACAATTTTTGTATTTACGGTTTTCGTCTATCACATACGCTGTTCGAGACGCGATGACGTCATTTACTATTACCATGTATTGCATGGTTTTACCAAACCAGTAGTTTTTTGAAAATCATTTACTCCATTGGAAAAATTCGGCTGCCAAGAAACTAAGGAGGTAAAGGGCTATATCCGCAATTTCGAACATTGTTGGAATTATATACAGGGTCCGTCGTTTGTGGGCGAAAATTTCTAATAGATCGATAGAAATTTTCGCTTTTGTGGGTAAATTATTGGCGATAAATGAAAAACCGTTAAAGATGGGATAATTTTATTTGAACGGTATCGTAAACCGTGGCGTGAGAGTTTCAGGTTTCGTCAATTATACAGGGCGCGAGATATTATTTCTGCAAATTTTGATATTTACCGATGTTTGCTTTGAAGTTGGACGAGATGTGAAGGACATTTTATACAGGAGGAGCACGATAGAAAAACAATGCGTCCCTTTACCACACGAAACCGCGAAGCTCTTTTCTTTTATAATAAAAAGCTGCTTCGCGCTGCGCGCCACAAACTTGCCCCGCCCACTGACGATTTTTCGAAAGCAATCTTGTTTATATACGCAGGCAAAAGCTACGCTAGACCGAGCACACTGAAGACTCACCTGCGCACTCACAGCGGCGAGAAACCCTTCCGTTGCGTCGATTGCAACAAGTCGTTCTCACAGGCGGCGAATCTGACCGCGCACGTGCGCACTCATTCCGGTGAGAAGCCTTTCCGGTGCCCGGTGTGCGACAGGCGATTTTCGCAAAGCTCGTCGGTCACCACGCACATGCGCACGCATTCCGGCGAACGTCCTTACAGGTGAAATGAGCGATAGATCGGTAGCTTGACGGAACCACAGCATACAATAACAACCACATACATAACTCTACGTAAATCTACAAAACTAACTCTCGACGTGAAAGGTCCTGCTCAAATAGAGCCTATTACGTTGATTTCCTACGTTTCTTAAGGGCAACCCCACATACCTGTGAACCTAACCTAATTCTTCTGTGGAGTGAAATAAGCGTCTCCTCTTTTCACTTTGTTGGCCACGAAACATAAATCTGGTCTCATTTCTCAATACAACCTTTCCGTTCAAATTTCATTAGTTTCAAATAATACAGACTAGTATTTAAGGTATTAGTATATTTTTAATTTTAAATTATAATGATACCACCAAAAAACAGTATTGCGACAATCTATGCATTAACTATCATTCCTTTATTGTATTATAATCAGCATATCAAAAAATCGCTACGTTCCGCTTTACAAAATGTATTGTAAGATTTATGAGTTAATGTAAAAATAGGCGCGATGTTGATTAATAGTATTTGCACTTATCAAACTTGGATCACAGTAGACAGTTGGCTAAAACTCCTACCTCATGTGACGCAAAAGCAACAATCCAAAACTACATGTATAATAATATTTATTTTCACAAAGATTATACCAAAAAACAATTAATTGAGGTTCTACAAAACTTGAACCTACAAAAGGAATACGTCTGTGATAATTATGCAAAAAATCTAGGGCATACAGTTTTAAGGCTTCTACCTTACCACTGTATATTTAATCCCATTGAACATGTTTGGCACCAACTGAAATCTGCCATTCGTCGTAACTTATAGAAACCGAAGTTTTTAACATCCCTCCACAAACTTGGGCAAATTCTGTTAAAAATATAGAAAAAGCAGAACAATCGTATATCCATATTGCAAATAATACAGAACAAATAACAATTAGAACAGGGGATGATAGCGATAGTGATACTGATATATTACGTGAATAACTTTAAGTAATTTAAGTAGGTAATAAAAATAATTTATTATTTTATTTTAGATTTAAACATAAATACATACATAAATAAATATTGTTTAGTATCTTTTCTAACAAAACCCCAAATAATTTAATTCTAAGCGAAGTACGGACCTGTTCGGCCATATTTCATTCTTACTTCTTTTTGTAATACTTACACATAACCTCACTTGCTTGTTTACTTCCGTCAAATCACCGGCAGTTATAAGTAGACTGTGGTTCGTTAATGTGTTGGGAGTTTATTTGGTTGATTCGCGACAGATGCAGACTGTGCAAGAAGGCCTTCTCGGACAGCAGCACCCTCACCAAGCACCTGAGAATACACAGCGGAGAAAAACCTTACGAATGCAAGCTGTGCCTGTTGAGGTTCAGTCAGAGCGGAAACCTCAACAGGCACATGAGAGTTCACAACGCAACAGTCAGCGGGTTACCACCGTGACACCAACTATATTTCTGGGTAAACACTTATTCTCAATAGTTTTAAAACTTTTTGGTTTTGCAAAATTCGAATTTTCGTACATTGAATACTTGTAAATTATCATTGAAACAGGAAAACTCCCATGTTCCGTATTAAAACTGAAGTAATTCAAATGCATCGCGACGTTTTCTCTCGTTATCAACCGAGTTTGAAATTTAGTCCCGGCTTAAGTCAAAGTAGTTCAAATGGTTGGTTGAATCTTTCGGCGCACCATAGATGCAGAATTAGAGAGTGAAATTTTCTTTCCTTTGCATAGAATGAGCAACAGGTGCAAAAGCTTAAAGGCTCGTCTTGGGCGAGCCAATAAAAGCCTCCAGTCCTCAGAATTGTAGTCTGTACCACAAAAATTCATAATAGACAATATTCTCACCCAGAAACAAGTCAACTATATCATAAAATCAGACTCGCTAAATAGTTCGATAGTTTGTTTAGACCAAAAGTATTTTGAACTTAATGGTCAATTTGGAGTAGCAATTTAAAATTTTTCGAATGTTATGTAACGCTGCTATTTTTTGAGACATAAATATGATTTTTCAAAAATTAATTCAAGAATATTGCGCGATTTCAATAAAAAAAAACATTGTTTCGCTATTAGTTTAGTCCCTATACCTCCAAAATTGAGAATAATCCCAAATCACAAAATCTTTGTTGGTCTGTGTTATTTTTTGAAATTAACGGTAAATAGATATTTTTTAATATTTCCGTGTCGGATTCTATTTCAGGATACATGTAGAAGCGTGTTCGTTCTGAAGCAAGCGTCGCCTCGCGATAAAAGGCTTCGCAGCGTTGCCGGTTCTATCGTAAGTATTTCAAAGCAAATCGACAACTACTCGTTATCGCAGAGCACTCGAAACAGATGCCAGTTATAAGCAAATAGGATATTCAAGTACCTATTAGGTATTGGATTACGGTTGTTGGATACTGATATGATCGAGATACGAAAACAAATTATTTTTTCCTGGAAAAAAGTATCACCGAACCATTTTACGCCTTATTTTTTTTCACCCTTTCTTGTTTTTCGCTGCCTGTAACGGTTGTGTTTTTTTTTTCGCAGGCCACATCTCTGCACGACACTGGTTAAAGGAGGGTTTACGTTGAGGTGCCCGAGCTGTTACCAAAGGACTTTTTCAAGGTCGCGAAGGAGATCGTCCGAGAAAAATGCGTCTCAACAACGAAAATGCATTAAAAATTATTTTCCCGAGTAAATGTGCAGTTTTTGTTGGCCCGCACCGTTAATGACGTACGATCTAAAGACACATATACTGTGGTTACTATCCCGTTAAAACGGAAATTAACTATGGAGAGAAGATCGATCAAATAAATATCGATAGTCATCCTTTGCATGTTTTCGAATGTTGCAATAAAAAAAAATATAATAAACTTAAAAGTCTTGATACAATATTACCAACACAAACGAAACAAAATATAAAGAACTTCGAACAGTTGAATCGTAATAAAAATATAAAGTTATTATGAATATGATAGTCTCCTTTCGTGGTTTATACCATATAGTAACCTGATCCAAATATTACCACGTTCACGACCCTTGTCCGCTGCCTACAGAATTCAAGAAAGCAAACTGACTGTCGCGAATGACGCGAGCTCATTGAAAGAAGAAGACCTGTCAAACGAAATTCAATATGGCGTCCTAGGACAGACTAACAAAAGAAATACCGTTTCTTTATAAGGCAAAAGTGTTTATTTTTTAGCAGATAATCTTATTTTGTGTTTAGTTTCAGTTAAACTCTGAAGAAGTTAGCAGGATGATTCGCGAAAGGTTAGCAAGTTCGACTCTGCAAAAACAGACGCAGGAGCAAAGCAGAAGTTTTGTAAATAGTATTGCAGTAGCCTGTGGAAGTTTCTTTGAAAAGCAAATTTTCTGTTTTCTGTATTCAAAATAATAAATTTAACTCATTACACTTTAAACAAAATGTCTTGGCAATATACATCACCTTTGTAAAATGCACTTTAGGACAACATGTTCTGTAGAAATGTCACTCTATTATCATCTTTCTCAAAATTGTATTTCATTAGATTTACTTCATAGACAACTCTTAATAACGGTAAGCGCTATTATTTTTCAATAGATCTTCAAGTTAATAGGTACCGGAGTTAAAAATTTGTAGTTCCGCAAGCAGATATTTGCAAATAGCTTTCGAAAACAAGTTACTGCACGGTTATTGCGCAAGTCGCTTGGAAATGTCAAAAACCCCGACTCGTGATCACAGACCATAGCGCTCCGCCGAGTTACAGAACACCAAATTAAAGTTTTAAATCGGACGAGTATTCGGTATAATTTCAATTAGACGCATCGCACTTTCGAAAAATTTTGATGGCATGCAACGTCCCACGCCTCCTTTTGGCGTCTGCTCTCGCCGAACTACTTAACGCTATTACAAAATTGCCCGTATTAATTTATTAACGCATAATACGAGCCCAAAACTTGTTAGAGCATCGAAACACTCCAGATACTTTTATCGGGCCGAGATAAAACCCTACAAAATCAAAAAATCGGTACAGTATTTCGTACGGTACTCGCGTTTAACGGTCCATTATGGCGGACGTTTCGGAGCACCAGAAGAGCTACAAGTACGACCCCGTGTCGCCGACGGAACCGGAGAAGAAACTCGTGGCCTTAGAAATCGACGATGCCACCGAAGGGGGCAGTCAGGCGTTCCTCTACATCGCTGCGTGTACAGGTTAACGCATTTTTTAGTTTTTCACTAAATAAATATGAAACCTCGGGCGGCAATCGAATACAAACTCTCGAGAAATACGGCACGGTTTGGCAACAGCGTGTCGCGCTCGGACCGTACTCGCCGATATGTTCTGCGAAAATTCTATTATCTATCCATGACCGAATAAAAATTTTAGGTCATTTGTTTGTACGATCCTGCTTCACTTCACTGATGATTATTTTATTTGCTTTTATGTTACAAAAATATCGTACATAATCAACCAAACTACATATCAATGACCGCAGATAAATCATCACGAGTCCACGTCCACAGATAATAAAATTTTCTAGTTTTTGGTCATTTAATTCACTCCCCCTTTTCTCGCAGGAAACCTTGCCGCGTTCACATCCGGGATCACGCTCGGTTGGACGTCGCCCGTCATCCCGAAACTTCAATCTTTGAATGAAAATCCCCTAGAATCCCTCATCACTCAGAGCGACGCGGGATGGATAGGATCTCTGCTTCCTCTCGGTGCTGTCCTGGGGCCGTTCCTAGCGGGCGCCGCGGCCGATAAAATCGGTCGAAAAAGCACACTGTTGGCCGGCAACATCCCCTTCGTAGTCGGTCTCCTGCTTAACATAATCGCCTCCAACGTTTACTATCTGTTCCTCTCCAGATTCTTGTGCGGTCTATCCGTCGGATTCACGTTCACTGTGCTGCCAATGTACGTAGGCGAAATCGCCGAGGATAGGAACCGCAGCAGTCTGGGCACGCTCCTCCAGCTCTTCTGCACCTTCGGACTCCTGTTTTCGTACCTTATCGGACCCTACTTGTCGGTGACACATTTCAACCTCGCCTGTCTCACGGTACCGGTCACTTTCCTAGTGACGTTTTACCTGTTCGTGCCGGACAGTCCGTATTACCTCGTGCAAAAAAGCAGAGAAGACGCCCAGAAAGCTCTGATGAAATTACGCGGCGCCACAGACACGAACCACGTAAACCAGGAACTCAACATCATGCAGACAACAGTCCACGAGGCGTTGGACAACAAGAGTACGTTCCTCGATATCTTCAAGTCCAAAGGTCTGACCAAAGCGTACGTCCTGTCGAACGGGCTGATGTTTTTCCAGCAGTTTTCGGGCATCAACATAGTGCTGTTCTTCACACAGACCATATTCATAGACGCCGGCGTGTCCCTCGCCCCAGAACTGTGCACCATAGTTGTCGGGATCGTTCAGGTTGTGTCGAGCGGTGCTTCTTCGTCGCTGATCGAAACCAAAGGCAAACGGTTACTGTTGATGATTTCGGCGGGCGGCATGGCAGTTTCGGAAGCCGTACTCGCTTACTTTTTCTTCTTAAAGGATAACCGCGGCTCGGACGTGTCGGGTATATCGTGGTTGCCTATTCTTTGCTTGATCGTTTACATAATCACGTACTGTTTGGGGTTCGGGCCGATACCGTGGACCGTAATGGGCGAGATGTTCCCCGCAAACGTCAAGTCAGTTGCGTCGACATTCACGGCCGCGACATGTTGGTTTTTCGGGTTTTTGTTGACCAAATATTTCGCGACGGTGGCCGATTTGATCGGGAAAGCGGGCAGTTTCGGACTATTCGCGGGATGTTGTGCGGTCGGATTCGCGTTCGTTTACAAATTCCTGCCGGAAACGTCGGGGAAAAGTCTCCAGGAGATACAGGACATTCTTAACGGTAAAAACGACGAGGACTGAGGGGCAGTTCGGGCACGCTTCGCTACTGGAGTTTTTTATATTTAATTGTATCATTTTTTTTAGAATTCGTAATAAAAGAGAATTTTTTAACACCGCCGCCTTTTAGAATCCAATTCAACTGCGTAACCGTCGCGACAATTTCAAATAAATTTATTTAATAAAATCTAAGATAACACGTATGCATTTATTATCTAACAAAGCATGACGGCGTCAAAATAGTCCACTTGAGGAGCAAAGCCGAGTTATCCATGTACAAACAAATACTTATAGATAGGACGGGTTATATGCCACAAAAATTTTGATTGAGCTCGAAATCCGGTAATTCTGAAAGTCTAGTAAAAATAATTGAAAAGTGGCAAGACGCAATGATACGCAGCATAGAATAATTTTTCATAAATCAACAGCTGAATTTAAGACAATCTATGCCTTAGAAGCAGCGCGAGCGCCATCTATCAGTCAGTGGTCATTTTAATTGAGGAAAAGTGCGACAAGCAAAGTAGATTTCTGCAAAACGAACACTAAAAGCCTAATCCAGCCTTTGCACGACAGATGGCGTCATGCACGCAAAATTTTAAATCCTACATTTCGTAGGGAGTAGAAATAAAAAACAGAAACACAGGTCAATTATTTATTTCATTACAGTGGTAAACACATTAAAATTACTCGTGGGGGTGGAGGGATACGGTATGAGTAGAAACCGGCTTTTTTGCTCCGTTCAATCACTTGCTTCATTTGAAAAGTCAAAATTACAAAGGGTATTCTAAAAACAAAAGAAAGCAACGATTAGGAACTTTAATTTACCTTCTCGGAAACCCCTAAGGGGTCCACAATCTTCCGTAGCAACTGTAGACCAGTCAAATACATTGTGCTTTGCTGAACCAGCTTTATGACGTAAAACACACTCATACAACTAGATCACCAAAGAATAATATATCCGACACGTCGGATCGTCGAAGCCTTTCGATGTGGGGCCGAATATTGGTCTTCTGTTAGAGGCGAGTGTTCGATCTAGTCACAAACGATACTATACATGCAACGTTAGACGGAACACAAGCCAGCACCAAAAGAACAGTCGGATATACAGGAAAACAAACGGATAAGGCAGAAAAGGGCAATAACACACGAACGCCGAATTGTCGCCAAACACACGCGAAACCGTTGCACGTGACCACGTGGCTACGCAAAACACTCGCAGATGACATACTACAGAATAAAACATGGTTATACATGACAGTGCGTTGTAGTTCATTTTATAATTTGTGTAGAGAGATTATTCGGATTGTTTTTTACTTTAAAACAAATTGTACATGTAATTTATCACTGAAACATAAAAAAAAACATACGAAACTTCTTTTCAGTTTCATCATATTCAATGATTTACAATCTAAACCGAGCTTATTCTATGCTTTAATTAACTAGTTAAAAATAATTTATTCTCTAATGGTAATGCGTTCTTGTCAGACTCTTATTTTGACATTATAGACTGGCCAAAAAAAATTCTTCTGGTCTTTAGCATATCTTTTGCGAGTTTATAAAAACCCACCAAAAGCTTAACATAGACAAAGTCATTTTAATATTTGGACGTTTATTGTTTTTTAATACTCTAGCAAAAATAATCAAGCAAATAATTCGAACATGTTATATTCGACATCAAAATCACGTTTTGGATTTATCATGTACAGTAAGCGGACTGCCAAACAGCTGCCACATGTCTACCGATTTGTTGACTATGATATCGGCGGTGTCTTCTGTCATCTGTAAACAACTTTCTTAAGAAATTCGGCTACAAAGCACGACAAATACCTACGTTTCTTATACAATTCAGCACAGACTCGACATCCTTGAATTTAAGGATGCGGTGCTTCAGGGTGGTCAGCATTACGACAACGATGAACACCAAAATCTTAACCGACCCCCCGCAGACTTTATCCCAAACCCTGAAAGTTTTAGAATATCGCATTTTTCTGAATATTTTGCTAATATTATCGTTAGAGGTAACCGAGTTACCTGCTAAGGTGTTTTTCGTTGATTACACCGGCGAAACAACACTCGAACCACAGCGACAGTGGCAAACTGTCGAGAAAGTTATTATCCACCAAACTCTTGTAATAACGATGGTCCTCTTTTTCCAATAAATTGTGCGTCTGCTCCACAAGCTTGGGGATGTCAGAGTGAAACTTGCGAGTGAACTCGTAAAAGTTCTTCGCAGTCCAGTATAGATCCGCGTCGTTTTCGGAGAACTGCATCTGAATCAAACTCCTGACTATCGAGAGGAACGCCTTGTCTTGTGTCAGGTTAATGTCGAAAGGCAACACGCCGCTCTGCAACAGCCAAATTGCGAGAAAAAGCTGAGGTTTCGGTAAATTCGCGTTTATCAGACGCGTCGTCACGAGGGCGTGATGCAGATCGCTGAATTCTTGCCTCCGTTGGTTCATTACCAAGGGGTGACTGTCTACGTAAATGGGAACGACACCTACGGACACGCAAGTTTCGGTTTCGCACTAAGCGAATTTAGCATAAACTAACCCAACGTTAGCTTCCACACGAGGCCGCGGTACGTGTAGGGCACGTAGAAGCGCAGACAAAATTGCATCAGTTTGGCGCGGTCCAGCGGTCTGTCTTTTAAAAGCATTTCCAGCGATTTTTTCTCCTCGACGCTCTTGAAACCGACCTTTTCGTAGTAAACGGACCGGAAATTACGCTCGTCGGTGGCCATTCTTGTTTTTTCAACCAATAAGTAAGTTAACACTCAAATACCGCCTTTTTATATTTAAGTTTAAGGGGTTAGACTCATAGTTAACATTTGGTCGGTCTCGAGGAGCAGTGCGGCATCGTTGTAGGCAACAAAGAATCCGCAAACTAAAAGAGTTCCACTACGCGTACTCTGACGTATTCGTCCTAAAAGCTTTGATATCGGTTTCGATTGTGTGGTTTTTGTTTTCGTTTTCGTGTTTGGCGAAGTTGTTGGGCTGGATGGTCCGCGATGGAAGCGGCAGGTGGCCGGCTTCGGAAGCGGTGATGTTAGTTACTGTCTTTGTTTAATAGTTGGTTTTTTCTTAGAGGATGTCGGTAATGGATGTTGTAATAACCTGTTGTAATACCTTGTCTTTTCATTTCGAAAAGACGTTTTGGGAAGAAAATATATTTTTGAAGTGGAATAGATCTATCCTGGGATGCGATGCTGTTTGCAGTAACAACCGAAAAAATGCATTAAAATCTAGGTACAAAATATTAATTTATCGATTCCCTAGCGATACAGATTTTCAACAAACCTGGATTTAGAGATGTAATAGAAATGATGGTAAACCGATGACGCAAGATGCCTTTTTTGTTCGTGGTGAAATATTTCAGAAAAATCAGTCAATCGAAAAGGGTCCCAAAATAACACAAAACTAGTGATGTTTTTGCGACAAAGTTAATTCATAAGGATCGGGTATTTAAAAGAAGAGTCATGTAGTTATAACGACGTGTAAAAAATTGTTCAGTTTAAAAATATATACTTCATAGATAATACAAAAGGGCTTTGGTTATTTTTACTGTTTTGTAAGTAAAGTGTTTATATTTTGTTTGGGCAAGGTTGGTTTAACTACTACGAACTGATATTTTGTATTTAAAAAAACTACTAGCAGTACGTGAAATTGGAAAATAGAGCGTTTGATATGCTCTTTGGACACTGGGTAGGCGAGTGACGTCATCATCTAGTATTGGTGACAGGTGATGTTTAGGGCTCAATTAAAGTACATTTACTGTACAAGGTCGTATATTAACAAATATCACACGTTTTATAAATGTTGCCCGAGTCTATCGTCTTTTATCGGTACTATTCCTGGTCGGTAACGAGTTTACGTCATTCCCGGGAGCGGCCAATCGTTGTTCCTGCTCGCCGACTTCGCCGCTCGCCGTTTTCGTCTTCTTTTTACAATAATGCGAAATGATCAAAACCGACACGACCACGAAAATGACAGACGCGCACACCAAAATCGGAAACAGCGCGTCATCGATCCAGCGCGTCTCGCTCGTCACTTGCACGGTGACGTTTTTGTGATCTTTTCCGTATTCCGTGACAGCGAGACACGCGTAGATCCCGCTATCCGTGGACCGAGTGTTGTGAACGTTTATTTTGCTCAGGTAAGTGTTGCCGACGTTGTACGCGGATGGCGGGAAATTCAAATGGCAATAGCACACGTTTTCGTATGCGATCTCGCACTTGTGATCGAAACAAGACTTGAACCAGATGACGGTCGGCGGCACCACGCTGGAAACGTTGCACTGTATCGTGAATTCCGCGTTGACATCGCTCGTCGCGTTCGATATCTTCAGGGATGAGATGGAAGGTGGCGGCCCGTCGAACTTAATGTCATCTGCAACGTTTGAAAGTTATAAACACAACGCCCCCTTTTTCACGAGACCACAAAAGTTGAATAACCTCGAGTTCCATGCACATGGACCAATCACAAGGATCGTAAACCTAATAGGATTGCCCAATCCCAAAATTATCGATCGCACGTGATCGCTTGTGACGTAAGCGAAGCCCTCTAACGGTTTTTGTGTATTCTGTCAATGCATTTGAAGGCGTATTAAACAGTAGTATTTTGTGTTCTTTGAACAAGTAAAATAATTTAAACTAGTGAGTGTCTGTAAAAAAAACGTGAATAAAACAATGTTTTTAAGCTTTAACAAATACTTTAAAATTGTATGTGCTTGAGTGGCGAGAACTGAGAAAAACAGTATTTTTAACCTTAAACAAAGACTTAAAAGTTTTGTGTTCGTTCTGCTTATTAGCGGTGTTATTAGTTAGGAGGTAAGCTCAAAATATTACACATAATAATGTAGGTAAAGGTAACAAATACATTTCTTTTACCTTTTTAAGTGGGATAAGTTACATTAAAAAATAGTTAGGTATGCCTGGAACGAGATGTGCCATGTATGGGTGCAATAACAACTATTTTGATGAAAAAGCAAGTTCTCGAAAATGTAGTCTTCATCGCTTTCCCAAAGGGAAAGTTCTAGTATCCCGAACTATTCGGAACGAGTGGATAGTTCGATGTAGAAGAGAGGACAAACTTAATCCAGATAAAAGCTTTGTCTGCTCAGTTCATCTCTTACAAAATGAGTTATTAGGTTTGTTTTTGTCTTGAGTAACACATTAAATTCTCGACAAAATTTAAATTTTAGGTTTACCTTTAGAAAAGATTCTAAAAAAAACTGCTGTTCCCACCCTATGATTATTTAACCAGACGTCACCACCAGGAGCAGGAGTATCTATATCAAAAAGACTTCATTCCAAAAATGCCAAAAAAGAAGCTCAGCAGTGTGAGCTTTTAGCAACAACAACATGCCAACAGTGAAATTCTAGAGAAAAATCTTCAGAACCCATCTCCGAACCCCAAATAATAAATTATAAAGCTGAAAATAATAATAAATAATTAATTAATAAGACTGATGTAGTTTCTGCAATATTAAGATCAAATTAATAAAACATTTATTTTAAAACGCTTTTCGTTTATATTTTTAAAAGGTTATAACGCCGCGCAGCGTTGCAATATAAAATAGGCCAAGCATTATCATTTTTTAGATTAAAATCCTCCATATTGCCACCCATTTCAAATGGCCGCCATCTGAACGCACACTAATGATGACGTCAGCGCTTTCCAATCCTATAAATAGTAGGAACTAAGCTATCCTCCGTATGTGGTGATCAAATTGGGTTAGAAAAATCAATTTTTAAGCATTTTCTAGGTGCAAATTAATTTCTTTGTTTTTTATTTGGATGGGACGACTCGGATAACCAACACAGAGTGAGGTTAGGTCATTTTTCGATTAGTGACTTGTTTTTATTTGTAGAGTGACGCGAAAATCGGGCTTTATTTCTCAGGTCGAAACTTACCGACGATTTCGAGCAAATACGTCCTTTTCACCAAATCGTTTTCTCTGCACCGGTACATGCCGCTGTGCGTTTCGTTGGGGCGGGCGATTTCGAATTTGTCGCGAACTCCGCGGTGAATTTTCCGCCACGAGGTGGCGTCCCTGCCGTCGCCGTCGGTAACGTCAGAGTTGCAAAATAGCCCACTATAATACGACCGACATGGCTACAAATTCACTCGCTTTAGCAACAATCCCAAATCGTATTTGCGATAAAATGGCCGCGAGCGAAGGAAAAAGGCTGGAAACTGTCACCAGCCACAGTTGAGATAAAGGAACGTATAGGTTTGGTTGTAGACGTTGAATAAAGAAAGCTGTGGAAGGAAACGTGTGTCGTGTAATCAGTTTCAATTACATTATTGCGAAGCGTTTTCAAAGAGACAGCTGGTTGTGTAAATAATAAAACAACCTCTGCCAGTCCTATACTGGATCAAAAATTAATGTTTTTGGCGATTCTCGAATGATGTCACGGAAAACAAATCTGACGATTGTATCGCATCTAATTCGAGTAAAAAAAACGAGGTTATGTTTTTAATTGTGTTAACTTATTTAACGGGGCATAAAATTAATACTAAAAGGCTGCTACAGAGAGAAAACCCCGTCGTGGAGAAAGGAACGGCGAAGTGTAGATAAGAAATCCCTAATTGTGGTTAAAAATCCCATTTTATGTAAATTCTAAATACATAGGGACGATATTTATTGTGTAAATTCCATTTTGAAAAACCGCACTTGTAAGTTTGTTTGATTTCTTAATTCCTCAATCCGCGAGTTTATTTCTAATATATGTATGTTATGCCTCTCTTTCATCGCGATTGAGTGAAACTCTTTTTTAATCAATTTAGATCCTCCTTAATTGTTATTTTTTAGCCAATCAACTTCTTTCGACGTTAGGTAGCAAAATTTTATTAGCAGTCGTGATTATGAATAAATACTATTCCAAAATAATAAGAACAGTCGCACATAACTTGCTTCATGACGAAATTCATAGATAATTTCCAGCATTTATTTCCATTGTAGAGGCTTCCGAAGGCGCTCAGTTTTTTGGCACAGACTGTGGACAATTGCAGCCGACTGCACAGACCACAAATACTAAGGGTAAAACGCGGCAGGTGGCTATGCTATTTTCGTAGAAAAGGGAATGGTCTTCCGCGCATGCCTATTTCAGCCACTAACCCGCGCTTTGTGCCGTTTCCATTCTAAATAGCGAGATCCCTTTTGCCTGAAGATTTAATGGAATCTCTACATATTTTGAGAAAATACTGCCGTAAATATGCCGCATTCATTTATTGACGACCTGTTGGAGGCTACGTTGGTCATTGAAGACTTTTACTAGCAATATGGCGCAGACCCTTGGTCTGGCCTGAAATTTGGCCTGCACAAATTAACAAGGAATTTATGGAACTACTCAAAAGTTGTCCATATTTATGGAAAATATAAAGGAATATAACGATACGAAGAACCCACAGCTAAGGCTACAGAAAATAGTAATTGGACAATTCATGATATGCAACCCTGTCAACAAGAACCAGCGCAATGTATAGCCAATAATTAAAGTTTTATCTTCTTCGTGGTTTTAGTTTTGAATTTTTGGAATAAAAAGTTTACAAATTTTCATAACGTCTTTTTTAATTGCTGGAATATTATTGTAGTAGAAAACTTTAAATCCTCATATCTGCTACCAATAACGATTCTTTATTTTTAGTCCATTTTTTCCTTAAGTGACGTTGATTTTTTTTGTTTCTTCTTTATTGCAGAAAAAAGAATACGAGACAAAGTCGTATTACGAGAAGCCATCTAAACATCTAAACTGACCTTGTCTACCGCGTCTGGAAACAACAGGTACACAGCTCAGCACAGTCAGTTTGTGCTAAAAATTGGGTGTCCGCCGGGGCCTTAAAACTTGTAATTAGGGAATAAGTAAAATACTGATTTGAAAGTTCCTGACACCAATTTATAAAACTTTACAAAATGTCACACGCGAGAGGGACCACCACAGAACACGTTGACGTTTACGTCTTTGGTGCGGGCACCCTCTAGCGGCTTCCGCCTAAACATAGCAAAGATACGAAAGCGGATAATTGGTTCGTACAGCGCGGTTAGATGGCGCCACTGAACACGAATTTCTAATAGGAATAAATGTGATACCTTTCAAGGTTCAATAATTGGAAAGTGATATTTCGGGCTCACCTTGTATTCCCAAACCAGCCCCGTCGCGCGGCGCGCGCCGTTGCCGCACTTAATCGTCAGCAACGGGGTGCCGGATTTCACCCTAACGGTTTCCACTCGGGCGTCCGATATAAAGGGCGAATCGTTCGTGTAGCCTGAAAAACCGTCGAGCCCCCGTATACAGAATACGAATTTGACGACGTCGGGTCTCACCTTCGTCCTCGTAACGCTGACACCCGCAGAAAGTCAGAAACAATGCGTAAACCCAACACGAGATCGTGACATTCATATTATTCGTCGTCAGAAAATGCCAAACGCGTCCATGATTTCGATCTGGCGCGTGGTCGTCGTCGCGGTTAACATTTTTCTGAAACAACGCGTCTGTTTCCGATCCTCCGCTAATCCAAACATTTACGGGAAAACGTCAAAATATCGGGCACTTCATTTCGTTCGCAACTAATACGTATATATAATTCGCAAGCTCGCGCAACGCCGCACTCTTTGTGGCTCCCGCAGCGGCGTCCGTCTCGCGACAACAACAACAAAACTATTTAAATTGAAACGTTGCATTTAGAGATTAACGTGTCAAACGACAGTAGGGGGAGATAAAACGATCGCCATAATCTTATCTAAGAATGAAATACGATTACTACCGGTTGTTCATTTTTGTTTTGCCATCGATATAAAGTTTTATTTATAGTTCTGCGGGATTGTGTGCGCCCGCAAATAGGATTAATGAATTTAATAAATATAGCCCACGCGCGCGCCATTCGATATAAATATTTTCGATAATCAATAATTCTTTTTAAATTCCTTTCCGCCACGGCGTCGTTCGAATAAATATTTTCGTAAAGAAAAATACCAGACGCCAGGACAATGAATTCTAATCCTTCATCAAATCAATCTTGCGTCCTTTGCCGCCAGCTGTCGGTGGTCTGTGGTGGAATGCTCGCGAGTTCGTGGTCTCTGCTTCGACATAACCTCACAAGTTAGATCCGCATTTCACTCTACGAAAATGGCCAATATAATAAAGAAAATAGGGCCCAAGGTAGTAGTCGCTGTCGTTTTCCCTAATTTCATGCCAATAACGAGATATTTAGGTGTTTCAGTGTGGCAAGATTTTACGTTCGAAGCCGCCTCAAAATTTCCTGCGCCACATATCCGTTTGTAAGTTTCGTTTCGCGCGTTTCGTCGCCGCCCGCGTCACGATTCGCGTGTTTTAGCCTCCCAGCTGTGTTCGCCGAGGGTGCAGCAGCCCGCCCCCGATTTTTGCGGCACCGCCGTGGTCGATAACGATTTTAAAACCATAAAGCTGAGCGACTACAAGGGCAAATACGTCGTGCTGGTGTTTTACCCTCTCGATTTGTAAGTTTTGAGAATTGAGACGAGTTGTTAATTTATCCTGACCCTATGTTCAAGTACCTTTGTTTGTCCAACGGAACTCATCGCTCTCGACGAACGGATAGACGACTTTAAAAGATTAAACGCCGAAGTTATCGGCTGTTCCATCGACTCGCAATTCTCACATTTGGGCTGGATAAACACGGAACGATCGGTGAGTAGAGTTTCGTAGCTGCGATCTGAGCGAACCCTTACTTTTCCGGGCTTTGTGTAGAAAGGGGGTTTGGGACAAATTCGATACCCGCTGTTGTCCGACATCAACAAGCAGATCGCCAGAGATTACGGGGTCCTCTTGGAGAACGAGGGCATCGCCTTGAGGGGGTTGTTCATAATCGACAAGGAGGGCATACTTCGACAGATAACGGTCAATGATTTGCCCATCGGGCGGTCGGTGGACGAAGCGTTGCGTCTTATCGAGGCTCTGAAGTTTGTCGAGGAGCACGGCGAAGGTTAGCGTGTCACGGAGCTCCGTCCTGGGTATTGACGCGTTGTTGTTTTAGTCTGTCCCGCCAATTGGAAGAAAGGCGCGAAAACCATAAAACCGGACCCCAAAGGATCGCAGGAATATTTCAAATCAGTTGGTAAATAAATTTTGAAAACATTAAATTTGTATGTTTGTTGTAAATGTTAAAAATAAACTATGGGAATTGTTGTTTTATTAAATAGAGAAATTTTCGTTCTTAGTAACAAGGTCCAATGATCACGTTGTGACGTCACGTACGCGTAGACCACATTGACAATTAGCATTACATAAGCGAAGGTGAACTAACCAATTTGATATGTATGGTTTCCACACGTTGGCCAATGCCGTTCGATTATCCGATTTCGTCGACTTGACGTTAAACTTTTTGCCGTCACGATTCATCCGTAACGGTTACAATACATAATATTATTCGATTGTTTCGAAAATAAAGGCCCACGACGTGTACGTCTCGTGGGGTGTCCGATATGCCATGGAAATCGAAGCAACCCTTGATTTACGAAACGGATAACACAGGCCACCATCGTCAACGCGTCATAGTTACAGTTATTTGTCGGTATCTAGTTGCAACAAAAAGCTACGGCGACAAAAGTGGCGACTGCCCCGCAATATTTCACGCCAATCGGAGACGACTTTTCGGCGAAACGCTGGAGGTAAGTCGTCGCTATAAATTCGTTTCGCACTCGCATTCGTTGGTCGGTAAAGTAGGAAACGGCAAGTGTTTATTTTGCGGTTCGGCGATGCGGACGGCGGTTGTTCAATAATTAGTGTTACTAAGTCGGATCGGGTCGAAAAAATGTGCCGTTTTCGATTTTTCCGGACGGGTGGGTCCGTATATACCGACATTTTATCTTATCTTTGCGGGAATTGTGAACAAAGCCTCCATATATTTGGGGTGACGCGATGCCGTTATGGGGCAATTTAAATACATGAAATATTAAAAAAATTCGGGTGTTCCGCACGCGACGCGCGAGCGTTAACTGAGCCCCGTTTCCGGTTACAACGTTTCTAATTAAATAGATGATTTTTGTTTGCTTAGATAATGCTCAAGCGCTGCCCTTCTATTAGCTTACACGGCTAGTTGGGTCTCCCCCTTTATGCGATAAGCTATCGCGCTCCGATCTCTTATCTGGTCATCGCGGGACGCGCCCCCTTGTGTCCCGCGCGCCCCTAATCAAAATGAAATTCGGCACTCGTAAATATATGATTTTAATCGTTTTATTTGCTTAGTGGCCGATTAATTGGCCAGCGTGGCTCGACGAATTATTAATATGCCCGTACTGGGTTATTCATTATATTTTGAAACCCACCTACAGGGTTCATTTTGACAGTGTAAATACAAAATTTAAAAAAGGTAAAATAAAAAAACAAAATGTAAAAAGTGTAAAGCTAAAGAAATAAAATGTGATCTTTCCAGTCAAGTCTACTATCAAGTGTAATGCCAAGTAATTTTGTTGTTGTATTTATCTAGCGAAAAGAATATTTTTTGAGTTTTCAATAATTATTTTTAAACCAATTGTTCGTATATAAGGTAAAACTGGCATCGTACGCAGATAAAGCACATTTGACAGACCCCAAAAAACGGCATAGATCAGCAACATACACTATAAAAAATACAGGGCCGAGTACGGACCCTTGGGGGACCCCACTGGAGACCTTCACCAAAGAGGATTTACGCCTGTCATCGCCAACAAAGTGTTCCCTGTCTAATAAATAAGATTCTGTTACCTTAAGGGTTCCGCCGCGAAATTCAGCTTCTGTTTAAGCAGACAATTGGTTTGCATTGGCGTCAATGGATGTCGGTAGCCTTGTCATTGATTTTTGTATCGAGCTAGCTTTAATCGGTTGAGATGTTGGTGTAGATAGCGACTGTTTAGTTTCAACTGGTTCGTTTTGTTTGCAAAGTTAGTTGAGTTGAAACTAAGTAAGTCATTTAGCCTCTGGAGAGGTATATATATAGCTATAGCTTGGTTTTATATTATTCGAGTGATGTAGCTCCATTTCCAGCATTTCTGTGTTTCCAATTATGGTTCTGACACTATCACACTATCGGTAATCATGGTTTGGTTTAATAGTTCACCAGTCTTTTCACAACAATTTTGGAACTCATTCACTTTCCTCGCACTTAGTTCTTTTGCAAAACTAGTCAGCGTACCACTGGTTACAAGATTTTTAAGTTTGATCAGAATGATTGTATCATTTGTCGCCATATTGGAGTTCGTGTACGGAGTGTTGCTAATAAAAAAGTGAGATTAGTAGATAAACCTGTCCTCGTAAGGCGGAAAAATGCCACTTAGGACCTCATTAGGTGAAAACCATTTATCCGTGAAAGCACTATACAAACATTTTTTTTTAAACCCTGGCATTCGGCATTTTTAATACACTTCGCCGAGGGTGCGTTAAAAAAATTTCGCTGAAAATTAAACCCGACGCTTTGACGGCAAAGAACGCGCAGCAATATTATAATACGCGATTGGAAACACCTCGACATTAGTTAAAAGCTTCGCGCCACATTGCGAAGGTGAGTATACGAACTAGGTAACCCTTTAAGTGATTACAGCCGTTTTCTATGTTTCTACGCTGTCGTTAAGTAAATGGGAAAGAAAGAATTCTTGCTGGTATAGGTTTAGGCTTAGGTTGATTTATTTAACCACTGTATGCAAACTGTATAAAAAGATAAAGATACTTTTATTTCCATAAGACTTGATTTACAAGTGTTGGATATTGCCAGCATAATACGAATGTAAAAGTATAAAATTGTCTTAGTATAATTAGTAAATTAATAATAATAATAATAAGTAATACTGATAGATAAATAACAAATATACAAACAATAACAAACAACGAATACGTATTAAAAGGTATGAAAAGAAAGAAAATCCTTAATATTGTAATAGGCGAAGCGTAGCAATTTATCTTTAAGAGTGCATATGAAGTCTGTTCATAGATATAAGAAAGTGACTAACTGATACGAATGAAGGAAAGACCCGGGCAAGCTGTAAGAATGAAATATGGCCAAACAGGCCCGTACTTTTAATTATTTGGGGTTTTGCTAGGAAGGATATTTGACAAAGGACTTACGTGGACGGCGGTTTAACGACGAAGTTGAGTTAAAAGAGGCTGTTTTGGTTAGTTGATTGGATTGAGATGTAATTAGTGTATTGAAGTTAAGGGGGATTTTGTTGAAAAATAATAATAAATTATTACTCTACTTTGTTTCTTTCATATTCAGGACGGGAAATTTTGGCGCTGCTCTCGTACTTTTATGGTGCTATTATTATAGTTATTACTGGTTTTTATGTTAAAATTGGCTTCATAGGTTTCGCAAAGTTTCAAATTTGTTGACAAAACAAATTTTTTACTTCTAACATTAATGAATTCACCACGAATAAAACAAAAGGAATCAACATCATTTTTACACTCTCTGAGTCATACACAAATACATTTGTTACAGCTGAGACATACCAGTTACTACTAACTTTGATGTTACTTAGACATATTATATATACCCACCTGTAGAACGGAAAGAATTGACTAGAGTTCTGGGAGCAAGCAATTGACCTAGATATTAGTTTGGTTATACAGTTATACAGTATATGACCTTTCTTGGTAAATTTTGAAATCTTAAATGAATATATTTGACGTTTATTGTGTACAAAGGTAGATGTTACTTTTGTCAAAAAAATAAAAAGTATTATTACAGGCTTTTACTTGGACAAGGCACTCTCGATTGTACGTCAAATACAAGGAAACGTGGATGGGAAAAAAATATGATATATAATTATTAAACTGCTTGAGCTTATAATTTTTGTTTCATTTCAACCATTTGAACAGTTTTACATCACAAAAGAGAACAATCACTACAAATGTTTTCTGGTACACCAATGCAACAACAAAATATTTGGTGGGGCCATTAGGGGACATTTCTGGACCGCTCTGGAGCTGTGAGTCCAGAAACCAGGTCCTCGATGCTGTAGATTTAAATTATTTTTGTATCACCACAACTACATTTTTATGTGATTCTCATGTGGCTATAGGATGTGCCCCATCTTATATGTAAACTGGGGTAGGGGCCCACTCGCAACTGGCTAGAACAAATTGGACAGTGAATTCAGTCAGCTTATAATCAGTTTTATTCCCATCATCAGCTGTAAACCCCACCTATTTTGGTAAAAAAATAAATTTTGTTGTGGACATTGTCATTCATAAAGTTTTTATAAGTTCGATGTGATAGACGTCAACTTTTACCTTAGCCGGTGGCTGTAATAAATAGGGAGCGATAATGACAACAAAATATTCAAAAGATACTCAGGGGTTAATAAAAAATATTGTTTTGAATGCGGGTTGTAGCACCCTTCGATAAAATTAACCTATATTTTTTGGAAAAATTAATCGACCGAATGCATAGGAATTCATGTGTCCTGTGCGGATTTAGCAACCGACGTACGTCCTGTATCTTTAAAACGAGCACCGTTTTCCTAATTCGTATTCGATTAAACCTACTTAGTGTATTATATTGGTTGTAGATGGGAAACTTTACTCTTGGAGAATTGAAACAGCATCACTGACGCCATCTAGCGCGATGTAAGAAACTAATAGAGAAGTTCAGAACCAAATTCTTCTTCATTTTTAAATTCGAAATTTAACAGTGTGCGCGATTATAACTGCAATTGCAATAATTGTAAACTATAATATTCAGGGTAAATAAAACTAGGGAAAAAATGGACTGACGGGATTTTTTGTTCAGCATCTCAATTTTTGAGGATAAATCTAGGGAAAAAAGGAAGTCATATGATTAACAAAATATTGGTTGAAATTTATAAAATAACAACTTCAGATTCATTGGTTTATTCAATTCTATGCAAATAATTAAATATAGTAACTATTATTGTAGAATCAACCTATTATAATATGTCTCTCCGAAAGAGAAAGTAATACTCAAGTCAAATCTATATGTCACCATAACATTTTTATGGAAATTTCAGTAAATATATGTTTCCAATGTACCTACATATTATAGTCAAGAAATATTATTCTGTTACGTACGAGCAGAAGTAATTTGGGTACTACATCCTTATACAATTTTTTTACTTTTTGCTCTTAACTGACAGACTATACGGTAACTTGTGAGAAGAGTAAACGAGGCGGGACTTATCATTTTTAACCATTTTCAAATGTA